CCCAGTCTGTTCCAGACAGACCCAGACTGTCCCAGACTGCCCAGACTTTCCCGAAATGTCCCAGACTGTTCCAAAAAAATACCAGTCGGGCGCAGTCTGTCCCAGACTGTCCTAGATCGTTCCAAAAATAACCCAGTCGGTCCCAGACTGTCTCAGACTGTCCCAGACATCCCAGGCAGTTCCAAAAATATCCCAATCTGTCCCAGACGGTCCCAGTCTGTCCCAGACTGTGCTAGACTCTTCCAAATATATCCCAGTCGGTCCCAGGCTGTCCCAGACTGTCCGAGAGGGTCCCAGGCTGTTTCAAAAATATCCCAGACTGTCCCACACTGTCCCACACTGTCCTAGACTGTTTTAAATAATCCTAGATGAGCCCAGTCTGTTCCACACTGTCGCAGACTGTCCCAGACTGTTCCAAAAAAATTCCAGACTGTCCCAGTCTATCCCAGACTGGCCCAGAATGTCCCAGACAGTCCCAGACTGTTCAAGAAAAATCCCAGACTTTCCCAGACTGTACCAGATTGTTCCAAAATAATCCCAGACTGCCCCAGTCTGTCCCAGACTGTTCCAGAAGAGTCCCAGACTGACCAGTCTGTCCCAGACTGTCCCACACTGTCCTAGACTGTTCCAAATAATCCTCGATGATCCCAGTCTGTTCCAGAATGTCGCAGACTGTCCCAGACTGTACCAGATTGTTCCAAAAAAATCCCAGATGGTCCAGCCTGTCCCAGACTGTTCCACAATAATCTCGTCCTAGACTGTTCCAGAAATATCCCAGTCAGTCCCAGACTGTCCCAGACTGTCCAGGCGGTTCCAAAAATATCCCAGTCTGTCCCAAACGGTCCCAGAGAGTCCCAGACTGTTCCAAAAAAATCCCAGTCGTTCCCAGACAGTCCTAGACTGTTCAAAGAAAATCCCAGACTGTCCCAGACAGTCCTAGACTGTTCCAAGAAAATCCCAGTCCGTCCCAGACTGTCCCAGACGGTGCCAGACAGTCCCAGGTTGTTCCAAAAATATCCCAGACTGTCCCAGACGGTCCCAGACTGCCCAGACTGTTCCAAGAAAATCCCAGTCCGTCCCAGACTATCCCAGTCTGTCCCAGACTGCCTGAGACGGTCCCAGGCTGTTCCAGACATATCCCAGTCTGTTTCAGACGGTCCCAGACAGACCCAGCCTGTTCCAAAAAAATCCCAGATTGTCCCAGTCTGTTCCAGACAGACCCAGACTGTCCCAGACTGCCCAGACTTTCCCGAAATGTCCCAGACTGTTCCAAAAAAATACCAGTCGGGCGCAGTCTGTCCCAGACTGTCCTAGATCGTTCCAAAAATAACCCAGTCGGTCCCAGACTGTCTCAGACTGTCCCAGACATCCCAGGCAGTTCCAAAAATATCCCAATCTGTCCCAGACGGTCCCAGTCTGTCCCAGACTGTGCTAGACTCTTCCAAATATATCCCAGTCGGTCCCAGGCTGTCCCAGACTGTCCGAGAGGGTCCCAGGCTGTTTCAAAAATATCCCAGACTGTCCCACACTGTCCCACACTGTCCTAGACTGTTTTAAATAATCCTAGATGAGCCCAGTCTGTTCCACACTGTCGCAGACTGTCCCAGACTGTTCCAAAAAAATTCCAGACTGTCCCAGTCTATCCCAGACTGGCCCAGAATGTCCCAGACAGTCCCAGACTGTTCAAGAAAAATCCCAGACTTTCCCAGACTGTACCAGATTGTTCCAAAATAATCCCAGACTGCCCCAGTCTGTCCCAGACTGTTCCAGAAGAGTCCCAGACTGACCAGTCTGTCCCAGACTGTCCCACACTGTCCTAGACTGTTCCAAATAATCCTCGATGTTCCCAGTCTGTTCCAGACTGTCGCAGTCAGTCCCAGACTGTTCCAAAAAAAATTCCAGACAGTATCCCAGACTGTCCCACACTGTCCCACACTGTCCTAGACTGTTTTAAATAATCCTAGATGAGCCCAGTCTGTTCCACACTGTCGCAGACTGTCCCAGACTGTTCCAAAAAAATTCCAGACTGTCCCAGTCTATCCCAGACTGGCCCAGAATGTCCCAGACAGTCCCAGACTGTTCAAGAAAAATCCCAGACTTTCCCAGACTGTACCAGATTGTTCCAAAATAATCCCAGACTGCCCCAGTCTGTCCCAGACTGTTCCAGAAGAATCCCAGACTGACCAGTCTGTCCCAGACTGTCCCACACTGTCCTAGACTGTTCCAAATAATCCTCGATGATCCCAGTCTGTTCCAGAATGTCGCAGACTGTCCCAGACTGTACCAGATTGTTCCAAAAAAATCCCAGATGGTCCAGCCTGTCCCAGACTGTTCCACAATAATCTCAGACGGTCCCAGTCTGTCCCAGTCTGTCCCAGACGGTCCCAGACAGTCCCAGACTGTTCCAAAAAAATCCCAGACCGTCCCAGTCTGTCCCAGACAGTCCTAGACTGTTCCCAGAAAACCCCAGGTGGTCCGAGTCCGCCCCAGACTGTCCTAGACTGTTCCAAAAATATCCCAGACGGTCCCAGTCTGTCTCAGACTGTTCCAGACAGTCCCAGGCTGTTCCAAAAAGAATTCCAGACGGTCCCAGTCTGTCCCAGACTGTCGTAGACTGTTCCAAAAATATCCCAGTCGGTCCTAGACTGTCCCAGACTGTCCCAGACAATTCCAGGCTGTTCTAAAAATATCCCAGTCTGTTTCAGACGGTCGCAGACCGTCCCAGTCTATTCCCAAAAAATCCCAGGCGGTCCCAGTCTGTCCCACACTGTCCTAGACTGTTCCAAAAATATCCCAGTCGGTCCAAGACTATCCCAGACTGTCCCAGACGGACCCAGACGGTTCCAAAAAAATCCCAGACTGTCCCAGACTGTACCAGATTGTTCCAAGAAAATCCCAGTCTGTCGCAGACAGTCCCAGACTGTCCCAGACAGACTCAGGCTGTTGTTTCCGTTGTAGGGGAACCACGCGAGGCAAGGGTGTCTGGACGTCTCCTGTGATATACGACTCGCAGACATCGGTGTAAACAAAAAGCATCTTAGGTAGGGCGTTGATCAGGCTAATCGGTTGATCGGCCATCACAACGGGCTCTGTTTATGATACCTCGACCGATTCGAGAAAACCTAGGATGCGTGCCAGAGATCGGCAGAGTCTCAGTTTGTTCAGGTCGTCTAGATCGTTGTCAGTAGAGACTGTTGTATTTTTAGAGTGTAATTTGCGCTTTTTATTTAGTAAGTTTGTATATAAGGACACGTTCCGGTAAATTCTCTAAGTTTAAGTATTTTATTATAGCATGCGAGGTTTAGGACAGACAGATGTTTCGTTCCTTTTAGTTGACCGATCCCGAATATGATGTAGGCGACGCGTACAAACTTCGTTTTACGACAGCCAAGGTACGGTATGCCGAGCGAAAGAATAAAGTAAACCCAGTGCCGATTAACCAAACAGAGACAAGCCAGTCTAGTGCATCTGCGTCGAGGGGTAGTGCCCAAACTACCGACGTAAAGTTACCGGCTTTAGAATTTCAAAAATTTAATGGTGATGTGTATAATTGGCTATCATTTTGGAACTGTTTCAAAAAGATAGACGAAGATAAGGAACTTAGTGATACCGATAAGTTTCAGCTTTTGCTTCAAGCGATGGAGACGGATTCAACAGCGCACACTTTAGTGAAAAGTTACCCTCAGTCTGCCGAAAATTATAAGAAAGCGTTGAACGCGTTAAAAGGTCGTTTTGGGCAAGACGAAGTGTTAATCGAATTGTACGCGCACGAACTCATCCAGCTTGTGTTTAACTATATGATCAACCCGAAAAATCGTATGTCCCTCGCAGATTTGTACGATAAACTAGTGGCACATCTAAGAGCATTGAAATCACTAGGAGTCGCTACGGGCAAGGATTCGTCGCTGCTCGTGCCGTTGGTTGAGTCATCCTTACCGGAAGAATTGTTGCGTATATAGCATCGCAGGAAACGCGAGTCACCGCAAGACGAAACTGATGCTTCTGATGCTCCACAGCCAAGAAAGGACCGACTTACGCGCTTGCTCGAATTTATCGAAAATGAAGTCAACGGAGAGATGCGCATTTCAATTCTAAAAGGTCGTTTTGATGTAAGCCGTGATAGTGAAAACCAAAAGCATAAGCATCATCATAACTCAAAGAAACCTGCCAATCCGACCGCCATGGGTTTATTGGCTGCAAAGGGTAAGGAGACTAATTGTTTATTTTGTGATTTGAAATCGCATAGCAGTGAAAATTGTGCAAAAGCTAAGAAGATGACTCTTATCGAACGACAGGATACTGTTAAGAAAAAACGTACTTGTTTTTGTTGTTTAAAGATCGGTCATAATTGTAAAACGTGCCGCGTACGAGTAACGTGCTCGATTTGCAACCGTCATCATGTTGATTTAATGTGCAATTTTGAAGCTGGCGACGGTAAAAAGAGTGATAATATAAAGAAAGGCGATAGCGCGAGTGTAATGAAAGAACTTAACTGCATCGGTAAAATACGTAACTGCCCGCAAGTTTTCATGCAGACGTTTAAGGCGCGAGTTTATAGCGATAGCGGCGAGTTAATCGTACGGGTGCTGATTGATAGTGGATCGCAAAGGTCTTATATTACAAAAGAAGTCGCGAATCAACTGAATTATAAGCCAATAGGTGAACAGCGGCTCACCTATATGCTTTTCGGCGGAAGCCAGTCGGAAAATACGTATCATAAACAATACCGTGTGCGCATGCAAAGTTTAGTGAATGATTTCGCGTGCAATTTTGCCTCGCTCGATCAGGAAAAGATTTGCGGCAAGATAGAGCCTGTGTCCAATAGTGATTGGTATAAAGAGTTAGAAAAGTTTGACATCGAACTTACCGATCTGTGGGACAGTAGTGAACCGATCTCCATCCTGATTGGCGCAGACGTCGCAGGCAAATTATTAACAGGTAGGCGACAAGAATTAACAAATGGACTGATTGCTTTCGAGACATTATTAGGATGAACGATTATGGGATCCGTACGCAATCAGGTTACAAGTGAAAACGCAACCGTCAACGCCATGTCAATGTATGCCCGCAGCTACGACGTGAAAGAGTTGTGGTCGTTAGATATATTAGGCATACATGATCCGATTGCGCATAAGAAGTTGAAGGAACACGAAGAAACAGTGTTTGCAGAATTTTTAGAAACAGTTGTTTTCAATAGCGAGGGTCGTTATGAAGTAGAATTGCCGTGGAAGAAAAATCACGCACCCCTCGTCGACAACAAAAGTGTGGCCATTAAACGGTTGGATTCGTTAGTTACCAAACTAAAGAAGGAAGAAAGATACAACGAATATGACAACGTGTTCAAGGAGTGGCAGCGCGAGAAGATCATCGAACGTGTACCTGAAGAAGAAGTAGACGATTGGGGACACTATTTACCTCATCGGCACGTCGTAAAGGAGAACAGCACCACAGTGCTTAGGCCTGTATTCGACGCGTCTGCAACACAGCCGCCGCACCCAAGTTTAAATAAGTGTCTGCACAAGGGACCAAATCTCATTGAGGAGGTGCCAGCGATTTTATTACGTTTTCAAACGAATAATATTGGTGTTGTAGCGGACATTAAAAAGGCGTTTTTGCAGATTCTTCTGAAGTTAAAAAATAGAAATTTTATGCGTTTTTTTCTGGTATGATGAACATAATAATTTAATTATATTTCGACATTGTAGAGTAGTTTTTGGCATGTGCTGTAGCCCATTTATGCTAGGTGCGGTTATAAATCTGCACTTAAAAAATTTACTTTCGGATATAAACAGTAATAAAGAATCAGTTTTTACGCGTTCTGCAATTGAAAAACTTTTAAGTAGCTTTTACGTTGACAATTGCGTCACTAGCATAAATACGATTGACGAATTAAATGACTTTATGTTTCAAGCAAAGAAGGCGATGGAGCTTGCTGGTTTTGATCTCCGCGGTTGGGAATTTAGCGGGGACAACTTAAGTGAAAATAAGACTCCGGTATTGGGTATTTTATGGATCAAAAATAGCGATGCGATATCATTAAACGTTTCTAATTTAAATGAAATTAATGTAGAAAAGGTCACAAAGAAAGATATTCTATCGTATACGCATCGCATTTTTGATCCTTTAGGTTTCGTGTGCCCGATCACCCTTTGTCCGCGAATTTTATTGCAGGAAGCATGGGCGAAAAATCTTACGTGGGATGAAGATGTCGGTATAGAGATAAAGACAAAATTTCTTAAATGGTACAACAACTTGAAAAATTTAGGTGATGTAGAAATACCTCGATGTTTAATGGGAAAAAATTAATTCGAAGGATGAAGTAAGCTTACACACCTTCTGTGATGCAAGTAAATTTGCTTATGCAACGGTAATTTTTATACGCATTAAAAGTAGTTCAGGCGTTAGAGTTAATTTTGTACAAGCTAAATCGCGAGTCGCTCCCGCGAAAATCAGCCCAGATGCTCGTCAAAGTATACCGCGTTTAGAGTTGTTAGCAGCTACGATCGGTGCAAGATTAACTAATACGATTATAAAGACGTTGAATTTATATAAGGTAAAAACGTATTTTTGGTCTGACTCGTCGACTGTAATAGCGTGGATCAATAGAGAATATAATTGGAGCGTATTCGTTCATAACCGAGTAAAAGAAGTTCGCGAGCTCACCGATCCGAAATGTTGGCGTCATGTTTCAGGCAACCTAAATCCGGCCGATCTCCCGTCGAGAGGGTGTACTGTCGCGCGTTTGATAGAGTTAAAATGGCACGAGGATCCCGAATGGTTACGTCAGTCTCACGATAAGTGGCCTGTTAGCGCAAGTTTATATAACGAGGAAGAAATTAATGCAGAATTACGAAAAAACGCACAATTTATTGATAAAACTATCAGTTTTTTAGCAGTATCGTCAACTATAGATCGCAGATTTGTAATGCAACGCTTGCTAGATCATTGCTCTAAATATTCTAAAGTCGTTCGGGTTATCGCGTACATGAAAAGATTCGTGAGATTTTGTAAAGTTAAATTTGAATTGCGTGATAAGAGCGATTTAAGTTGTGAGGAAGTTAAAACCGCGGAGATGGTTTTATTAAAGTTAGTTCAAGCGGAGAGCGTGCAATTGTTTGATAAGAAGATAGACGATCAATACACATTATTTACCGATGACGATGGGGCCTCGCTAGCCACTACGGCCTACGTAACAGGTTGATTCGGTTAAAATCAAAAATTATTTTGCGTGAGGATTCTTTTAACTTTAGATGCCCGTACGTTTTATCAGGGAAAAATGAGATTGTAAAATTGCTTATCCGTGATCAACATATAAATTTGCATCACGCAGGATCGCAAATTATTATGAATACGTTAAGAGAGAAGTTTTGGATCATTAGGCCGAGACAAGCAATTAGAGCGGTTATAAAAAAGTGTGTAGTGTGCCGTAGACACAGTTCAAAGCCAGGTACCTCGGTTTCAGCGCCCTTGCCTTTAAATCGTGTGACAGATGCAGCTGTATTCGAAGTTGTAGGTATAGACTATGCCGGGCCTATTTATCTAAAAGACGGACAAAAGGCATGGGTATGCATTTTCACCTGTGCGGTATTCAGGGCAGTACACTTCGAACTAGTATGTTCATGAAACGTCGGATCGCTAATTATGGCTTTACGACGCTTTATTGCAAGAAGAGGTCGGCCGAGTGTAGTCTACAGTGACAATGGATTGAATTTTTCCGGGCTTAACAACGAACTAAAACGTATCGATTATAAAAAATTAGCTAGTTTAGCAGCGACGGAGCAGATAGAATAGAAATTTAATCCACCCTCTGCGGCCTGGTGGGGAGGATTCTGGGAACGATTGATAGGAGTTTTGAAAAAATTATTACGCCGTACCCTTAAAAGGTCTTGCTTAAACTACGAGGAGATGAGTACAGTTCTTATCGATTGCGAGGGTATCATTAATTCAAGACCGATCACGTTCGTCTCTGAAAGTGAAAATGAGATCATGCCCCTAGCTCCATCAAATTTTCTGCAAGAGATTAAAGAAATTGGCGTGTTAGATTTAGATAATGTAGAAGGAAGTCCACTTAACAAGCGTTATGCATATCGTCAAACTCTAAAAGAAGAATTGAGACACCGGTTCAGAAGCGAGTATTTAGGCGCGCTGATCAATCAACGCTCGAAAGTTGATTATCCCGTTGAGATAAAAGTTGGCGATATCGTATTAATCGGTTATGACAATGTTAAACGACTGCATTGGCCTTTAGCTAGAGTAATGGAGAAAATAACTGGAAAAGATGGTGTAGTACGGGTAGTAAGATTGAAGACAGCTACTGGAGAATTATTTAGACCGGTTCAAAGAGTTTTTCCGCTAGAATTAAATTATAATAATACTGATTTAAATGTTAAAGAGTCAACTGTAATTAAAAATAGTGAGATAGCAAAAAAGAGTTATAAGAAACAGCGTCCTCAAGAAAATGTTGATGTAATAAAAAATAAAGAACCACATGTAACGCGTTACGGCAGAAAAGTCAAAAATGTTGACCGACTAATGTACAATTAGCGTACACACGTATGCCATTTTATTTTTTTTTTCTGTATTGTGTGTCACGTTCGATTTACTTACCTTTTTATTATATCTGTTTCATTTCATTTTATTTTATTTTTTGTAAGCTACGATTAAAATGAATTAAATGTTAACTTTTCATCTCCTGGTGGGGAGGATGTTGTATTTTTAGAGTGTAATTTGCGCTTTTTATTTGTAAGTTTGTATGTAAGGACACGTTCCGGTAAATTCTCTAAGTTTAAGTATTTTATTATAGCATGCGAGGTTTAGGACAGACAGATGTTTCGTCCCTTTTAGTTGACCGATCCCGAAGATAGGACACGGCGACGCGTGTAGTATCTTAACGAGTTTTAAATATACCAGTCATAAAAAATCAGAGGAAAGGCACCGAGATTCGTCGAGCGAAGCGCATAATTTTATGGTTTTATTAGGTTAAGGGCTGCACAGCACATGGGATAACTTGTGGGAAAAACCCCGAGTATGGCGACGGTTTTGGGGAAAATCCCAAAGACTGGAGGTGCACTTTTATGGTTTTTATGGTGTTTGCGTGCGTTCACTGCGCTTTTGTTGCAAGTATATATTGTGACGTTAAAATTCACGTCGCAAGATCCCGAGTGTAGAACTAGCGTGTTTTAAATACGGGACGCATAACCGTCCCTCGGGAAAGTCGCGAAAGGTACCGGCCAAGAACTCTAGGGTCCAAGATTGTATTAGAATCGCTTAAGATTAATTATTTTTGTTGCGTACAACTATTTCATGCGTTTCGTATCCGGCCACCACTACCACCACCAACGTTTCGCCAAGGGAGAAAAGAGCAGCCACGCCTAGACAGACCATCAGTCGCAGCCTCGCTCGAAGGAAGTCGCCGCCAGTCCCGCGAGGGAGCATGGAGACGCACTACGTCATGAGGCGCCTCCACCCCGCAGCTGACGACTCCCGAATCAAGCGGGAAGTCGAGACAGCATAAGTCATCGCACTGGATCATACCGATCTCGCATTGCCGCCGGTACGGACGTCCCGCGAAGGGAACGCCACCGGTACCGAAGAGGATGGAAGGCTCTGGAAGCTGTCCAGGTGCGAGGGGTCGCTAC